TCAAAATCCCTTTCTGAGGAAGAGGAACAATTTTTTAAAAAAATGATAAACAAATAAATAAAACAGAGTCGCTCTGGGACTGAAATGGGCAGTTTCTAAATCTGATTTGATATATTTAAAAAACCTCCCTTTTTATGACCGTGTAGTCCCTATTCGGGGTCTGATTTGATACATAACACCCAGAAATTATGTCTCCTAACTTCCCAAAGGTGTTAATTTGTTTACAGACCATTCATTTCATTTTGTGGCTAACCATGCAATAAAGGGTTACTGAATATAATTTCCAAACTGTATGAGCATCTCTTTCAAATTCATATTTACCTTCTCGACAAAGCAAAGTTTCTTTCTGTTGGTTAAAAATACCTAAATAAATGTTCCCTATTGGAAACACTCTTATATCTGAGCGCAGCTTAAAATGTCAGTATTGGAAAAGGCCGTTTAGACCATAAGGTCTGTTAATACGTTATGTATTGTTCTCTCATCATTACCCCGGTGCACCGATTCTTTCTCATACATACATAAAATTTCTGGATTTTTATCAAGGGAGTCACTGATTTTTTACATTCATCCTTTCTTGGAAACGAGGGAAGGAAAATGAACGAAACCACCTGAAAAAGTCTAATTTCCCATTGCCAAAAGCACGTTTTCCCCAGATCATACTCCATCATAAAAAAACCAGATTATATGGCAGCAGGGGAAATAAATGAATTATTGTGTGTGTGTGTGATTTTTATTACAGCAGATTTATTACATTCGTAGGAAAAAATACAAAATGTCGCCTGCTAATTCCACTTTGCAGCGCAATTAATTATGATGAGGCGGGGGGACTATATCGAGGGAAGAAGAGATAAACATGCTAGCTATAAAAAGTAGGAGGAAGGAGATTTTTTTTTTCATTTAAAATTAATTTCCCTCCCAATCTCTGCTGCAATGAAGACTTCTTTATTTTAATTTTATTAGAAATTTTATCCTGCCTTTACAGGTGGCCCTTTGACCTACGAGCACAATTGAGCCTAAAATTTCTGTTACTAAGGGAGACACTCGTTAAATGAGTTTCCCCCCATTTTACCACTTTTCTTGCCACAGTTGTTAAATGAATCACTGCAGCTCTTAAGTTAGTAATATGGTTGTTAAACAAGTCTGGCCTCCCCATTGACTTTCCTTGTCAGAAGGTTGCAAAAGGGGATCGCATAATCCTGGGACACTGCAACAACAACAACAACAATAACAACAACAACAATACTAATAATAATAATACTAATACTAATACTAATACTAATACTAATACTAATAATAATAATAATAATAATAATAATAATAATAATAATAATAATAATAATAAAGTTGGAAGGGATCTTGGAGGTCATCTAGTCCAACCCCCTGCTCAGGCAGGAAACCCTATACCATTTCAGACAAATGGCTGTCCAGTTTCTTCTTAAAAACATCCAGTGTTGGAGCGTTCACCGCTTCTGGAGGCAGGTTGTTCCACTGGTTAATTGTTCTAACTGTCAGGAGGTTTCTCCTTAGTTCTAGGTTGCTTCTCTCCTTGATTAGTTTCCATCCGTTGCTTCTTGTCCTGCCTTCAGGCACCTTGGAAAATAGCTTGACTCCCTCTTCTTTGGGGCAGCCCCTGAGATACTGGAAGGCTGCTATCATGTCCCCCCTCGTCCTTCTCTTCATTAAACTAGACATGCCCAATTCCAGCAACCGTTCCTTATATGTTTTAGCCTCCCCTAATCATCTTTGTTGCTCTTCTCTGCACTCTTTCTAGAGTCTCAGCATCTTTTTTACATCGCGGTGACCAAAACTGGATGCAGTATTCCAAGTGTGGCCTTACCAAGGCATTGTAAAGTGGTATTAACACTTCACCTGATCTTGATTCTATCCCTCTGTTAATGCAGCCCAGCACTGTGTTGGCTTTTTTGGCAGTTGCAGCACACGGCTGGCTCATATTTAAGTGATTGTCCACTAGGACTCCGAGATCCCTCTCACAGTTGCTACCGTTGAGCAAGGAACCACCTATAGTATACCTGTGCATTATGTTTTAGCCTCCAGTCCCCTGATCATCTTTGTTGCTCTTCTCTGCACTCTTTCCAGAGTCTCAACATCTTTTTTACATCACGGTGACCAAAACTGGATGCAGGATTCCAAGTGTGGCCTTACCAAGGCATTGTAAAGTGGTATAAATATGAGTTCAGTTTCCAGGTGTCTGAATTTTGATCACATGATCATGGAGATGCAGCAACTTGGGTCGTAAGTGTGAAAAATGGACATAAGTCCCTTTTTTCCAATGCCGTTGTAACCATGACCTGGATGACTGAGAATCTCCGTGGACTGAGTATATATGTTTACTTCTCTTTGATCACGTTCTCATCCTATGCTAAATAATAATAATAATAAAGTCCATATCCTGTTCAAGAGTCGGTTTCACTGATTTTGCCAGGTTGATTCCCTGCACCCCGAGAGGTCGTCTTCCTAGCAGAGGTTGCAACATCTGGGAAAGGCTGCAAAAGAGGCCAGCTCAAGGCCGTCTCTTTCAGCATTTGAGAGTGCTTTCTCAGAAAAATGAGGTGGACTTGGCACACACTATTCGGGATCTTTTCCAACTGTAGGAACGAGAACGGTGGAAAAGGAAAGGAAGGAAGAAATCAGATTTGTGCGCAAGGAACAGCGTCCATCCAGAAAGCAGATCCGTAATGATTCCAGAGACTGAATTCTAGCATGGATCTATCACCTTGCCACAGGTCCCACGCTGTTCGCTCCAGCCTTCTCAGTCTGCTCACACGTCTGCTGAGCGAGCGGTTGCATGCAAAAGTTCAATTTCCATGGAATTTGGCTTCCAGTCCATTTTGGAAAGAGCCTGACCTTCCAGTCCTGTCTAACTTTCAAAACCCCAAACTTGTATCATAGCTTCCATGGATGCTGTCCAGATACGTTGGCAAGGAGCTAGAACTCCCAGGAGTCTAGCTTGCATCAGGCTGGGAAAATCAGGGATTACTGTACATAGTCTCATCACATCTGGAGGGTACCATGTTGTTGTTGTTTTTTTTAAAAGTATTGTAAACATTCTCCAGTAAAAAAATACCTGGCTGGGTGAAGCTTATAACTCTTCCTTTTCCAGTCCTTTCACCAGATGGTGAATTCATGTTGCCAGCAGCAGAGGATATTTCTAGCTGAGGGATGAACTGTCGGGTTTTTAGCACTCTCTGAGCTTAGTTGTTTCCCTGCAGACGTTTTACTACCAAACTAGGTAATATCATCAGTGCACGAGTTGGTAATGAAACATCTGGGGGGGGGGGGGAAACGCAAGGATCCCACAGATCCAGCTTACTTTGTTCTGTCTATAAATGCACTACATCTAATCCTGGCCAATTGATGGCTCAAAAAATATTCAAAGCAGAAACCAAGGCTTCAGATCTCAATGTACCCTAACACTCAGATGCCTTTACCGTGACTTCCATTCTGTGTTTCTAAGAGCAAAGACGTTGACAATGGACCATCCTTATTTTTACCATCCAAATTTTACTATGCCCAGCAAGGTTTGGGAGCAACATGTCTCCAAATCCCAGTTAAGGGAACAATGACCAGAGAGGTGTACATCTCCATGCCCTGGTTGAGAGGACCTAGAACAGTGGTGGCGAACCTATGGCACGGGTGCCAGAGGTGGCACTCGGAGCCCTCTCTGTGGGCACATGTGCCGTTGCCCCAGCCTTGCCTCCCCCCGTGACCCCCTCCTCTCCAACATCCCCCCTGAAGGAGAGTCACCCTCGAGCGTGGCCCACGCGGAGCAGCGCAGCCAAGGACAGTTTTGGGGGCACTCGGTCTCTAAAAGGTTCGCCATCACTGACCTAGAACATCTGACGGGCTACTGGAGGAAGGATAATCTTAGATGAAGTTCCTCCAGGACCTGATCCAGCAACGTTATTTTCAAAGTTGAAAATATTTAGCTATTACCCCTCTTTTTGGTTTATTCATTTATTTATGTAGTTTGTTTATTTTTTATTATTTATTTTGTTTGTTCGTTTATTGTCAAATCCCAGCAATTCAAGACACAATAAGCGTTAAGCAGGACAAGAAGAAACAGGTGGAAGTTCGTTAAAGTGAGATCCAACCTAGAACTAAGGAGAAATTTCCTGACAGTGAGAACAATTAACCAGTGGAACAACCTGCCTCTAGAAGCGGTGAATGCGCCAATACTGGAAGTCTTTAAGAAGAGACTGGACAGCCATTCGTCCGAAATGGTATGGGGTTTCCTGCCTGAGCAGGGGGTTGGACTAGATGACCTCCAAGGTCCTTTCCAATATCACCATCATCATCATCATCACCATCATCATTATACAAACCCCTCCTCCAAAATAAACCCTTAGCCCAGTATTTTTAGTTAAAAGTCTCTCAAGAAGTTGGAAAAAGTTCAGATTGAGATTAGAAGGATGATTGTTATTGAACTAAATGATATAATTGTCCAATTCAGATCACAAAAAGCCGATGGCTTTGCAAAACGACTCAGTTTGAGAGAAAAATGATAAAAATTACAATGTTTGGCCAAAATGCTTCTAAATCACCCAAGTAAGATCACTCCCTTTTTTTTTTTTTTTACCAACGCAGGTAGTCCTCGAGTTACGAACACAACGGAGCCCCCAAAATTTCCGTTGGTAAGCGAGACAGCTGTTAAGTAGGTTTTGCCTCATTTTATCACCTTTCTTGCCGCGCTGGCTAAGGGAATCACTGCAGTTGTTAACAACACGGTTGTAAAGTGATTCTGGGCTTCCCCGCTGACTTTGCAACCGTCATAAATACGAGTCAGTTGGCAAGCATCTGAATTTTGACCACGTGACCCTGGCGATGCTGCAACGGTCGTAAGTGTGAAAAATGGTCCTAACTTACTCTTCTTTCAGTGCCTTCGTAACTTTGAACGGTCACCATATGAACCGTTGCAAGTCAAGGACTACATGTATGTACGATCAAGAAGGACGGCATCTGCTTTAAAATACGTGTCTTACCAGGCCATCACAGTTGCTCACGGCGACGGAAGCTCCCGCGATATCCACCAGATCCCCGACGTAAGCACAGTTGGTCCGTAGGGATTCCTTCTTCCATAGTCTCTCCGTGACCCCCTTGCCTTGGTCCTGGTGAACCTCTTCCGTTGCGTTGTAGATGGAGGGAGAATCTTCGTACCACTCCACCACAGCGCCAGGAGCTATTAGACGCGTGTTAGACCTCAGTCGGAGGTGAAATTCTCTCCCGAAAGCGGATACGTTAAAGTAGAGTTCCTCGGGTGGACTTGGCAAAACGTCCCTTGTTAGTCTCCTGGAGCGCGTGACGGAAACGAAGTTGGAAACGTAGCTTCCATCTGCGCCACTGCGGACTGGGATGGTTAAGGCATATGGTTTCAGGCTGTGCGTTGTTGTTTCTGTTTTAAAAAGAGAGAGGATTTATTTGTAGGTTGATTCCTTGATTCCTTCCCTTCCTCCCTCCCTCCTTCCTCTTCCTTCCCTCCCTCCCTCCTTCCTTTCCTTTCCTTTTCCTTTCCTTTTCTCCCTCCCTTCTCTCCTTCCTTCCTTCCCTCCCTCCCTCCCTCCTTCTTCCTTCTTTCCTTCCTTCCCTCCTTCCTCCTCCTTCCTTCCTTCCCTCCCTCCTTCCTTCCTTTTCTTTTCTTTTTCTTTCCTTTCCTTTCCTTTCCTTTCCTCCCTCCCTCCCTCCTCTTCCTTCCTTCCTTCCTTCATTCCTTTTCCTTTCCTTTCTTTTCCTTTCTTTCCTTTCCTTTCCTCCCTCCCTCCCTTCTCTCCTTCCTTCCCTCCCTCCCTCCTTCTTCTTCCTTCTTTCCTTCCCTCCTTCTTCCTCCTTTCTTCCCTCCCTCCCTCCTTCTTCTCCTTCCTTCCCTCCCTCCCTCCTTCCTTTTCCTTTCCTTTCCTCCCTCCCTTTCTCCCTCCCTTCTTCCTCTCCTTCCTTCTCTCCCTCCCTCCTTCCTTTTCCTTTCCTTTCCTTTCCTTTCCTTTCTTCCCTCCCTTTCTCCCTCCCTCCTTCCTCTTCCTTCCTTCCCTCCCTACCTCCTTCCTCTTCCTTCTTTCTCTCCTTCCTTCCTTCCTTCTTTCCTTCCTTCTTTATTCATAGATTCATTCTTCCTTCCTTGGTCAATAAGCATCAAATATTCTTGGGACAAAATTTTGTGCAGCTGACAGTCTTGGTTTCGGCCCTGTTAAGATGTCTGGGCCTTGTTCCCTTCACCCTGAGTAGCATCACTAAAACCTACACGATATGGAATCCTATCACCATACATGGTGCCTTCTGTAGAAATGGTACTCTGTGGATGCTTAATCTTGGCTAAAATCTGGCTTTTCCAGTCTAGGGCACAGAGTCCTCTCGTCAAAATAGCTCTTAAAGATATCTAACCCTCTCCAAAGTCTTATATATATTGCTTTCTGAGGTGGCCTTCAGAAGACCACAATGGCTTGTCTTCCAGATATCCCTGCAATCACCCAAATAAACAAGCCAAAATTTAGTTTCCCATAGGAAGATTACTTTATTATTCCCCATAGGAGAAAGGGAGGGATAGCTGCTAAGCAGGCAATAAGCAGCCTAGAATTTTTAAAAAATCAAGAGCCTAAATGCATTGCACAAGTAATTCCCTTCTATGGTCACTTCATAAAACATAGGAGATGAAAGACAGGACAGAGCCATAATTCAAAAGAGGACTGGAAGAAGAATGTGAACAGAGTACATCTCCAAAGCTACATTCCAGGTATCCTGGATTAATGTCACCAGCAAAAAATGTTCCAATCACGTGTGGTCATGTAAGGAATAATGATGGCTGAAGGAAGCTGAGGGCCAAAGAATGGAGGCCTTTGAACTCTGGTGCTGGAGAAGACTCCTGCGAGTCCCCTGGACTGCAAGGTGATCAAACCGGTCAGTCCTAGAGGAGATCCATCCTGACTGCTCTTTAGAAGGCCAGATCCTGAAGTTGAAACTCAAGTACTTTGGCCACCTAATGAGAAGGAAGGACTCACTGGAGAAGAGCCTAATGCTGGGAAAGATGGAGGGCAATAGAAGAAGGGGACGACCGAGAATGAGGTGGCTGGATGGCGTCACTGAAGCAGTAGGAGTGAGCTTCAATGGACTCCAGAAGATGGTAGAGGACAGGAAGGCCTGGAGGAACGTTGTCCATGGGGTCGCAATGGGTCGGACACGACTTCACAACTAGCAACAACAAAGGAAATATAGTAAGCCCACATAGGCTTGGCTTAATGTACAGGTAGTCCTCGACGTACGACCACAATTGAGCCCAAAATTTCTGTTGCTAAGCAAAACAGTTATTGAGTGAACGTTGCCCCATTTTACGACCTTTCTTGCAACAGTTCTGAATCACTGCAATTATTAAATTAGTAATGGTTTTAACGGTGAAGCAATCTAAAGATACTTGAGGGACAGAAATCCTTCCTTAGATGGTCATTCAAAGAATGGAAACATCACAGATCCCATCCAAGCTAAAAAGTTGACTTCTTTGACTGCAGTTGCAGGCGAGAATAACTGGTTAATAGGATAACAGAGTTGGAAGGGACCTTGGGGGTCATCTAGTCCAACTCCCTGCTCAGGCAGGAAACCCTATACCATTTCAGACAAATGGCTGTCCAGTCTCTTCTTAAAGATTTCCAGTGTTGGAGCATTCACCGCTTCTAGAGGCAGGTTGTTCCACTGGTTAATTGTTCTCACTGTCAGGAAATTTCTCCTTAGTTCCAGGTTGCTTCTCTCTTTGGTTAGTGTCCATCCGTTGCTTCTTGTCCTGCCTTCAGGTGCTTTGGAGAATAGCTTGACTCCTCTTCTTTGTGGCAGCCCTTCAAATATTGGAAAACTGCTATCATGTCACCCCTAGTTCTTCTCTTCATTAAACTAGACCAGGGGTAAGCAACCTTGGCTCTTTTATGACTCGTGGACTTCAACTCCCAGAATTCCTGAGCCAGCATGGCTCAGCTTGGAAACCTCTCCCTTTCCCCTCAGCATGGCTGGCTCAGGAATTCTGGGAGTTGAAGTCCACGAGTCAGAAAAGAGCCAAGGTCGCCTACCCCTGAACTAGACGTACCCAATTCCTGTAATGGGTCTTTTTATGTTTTAGCCTCCAATCCCCCAATCACCTTTGTTGCTCTTCTCTGCACTCTTTCTAGAGTAGCGGTTCTCAACCTATGGGTCGCGACCCCATTTGGGGTCGATCGACCATTTCACGGGGGTCGCCAAGCAAGGCTGTCCGCCATTTTTTTCCCCTTTTCCGGCGGGTGCCTTACCTCCCTTGAGCTGGGCCAGTTGGTGGTCGGCCTGCTCCGTCTCTGCCGCTTGCCAGCTACGCCTCGGCCGGCACAGGGGGCGGAACCACGCATGCGCGGCGCTCCCGGGCAGGGAAAGTCCTCGACTTATGACCGGCTGGGTAGTCCTCGACTTACGACCGGTTTAGTCCTTGACTTACGACCGGTTTAGTCCTCAACTTACAACCGGTTTAGTCCTCGACTTACGACCGGTTGGGGGCCACGGCATTAAAAAGGTTGAGAACCACTGTTCTAGAGTCTCAACATCTTTTTTCATATTGGAAATATTGGAAGGCTGCTGTCGCGTCACCCCCAGCCCTTCTCTTCGTCAGACTAGACATCCCCAGTTCCTGCAACTTTTCCTCCTGAAGACCAAGGGGAGAAAACTCAGCTCAACGAGATGGGGTGCCTACTATCTTATTTCGCTTGATTAAAAGGCCCAAACAATTACGGTAAAATCCCGTATGTTTTCAGGCATCTCTCCACATTAAAGGTGCTTCCTTTAAAACCAAGCAGGCCGATGTTGCAAAAATTAGCCAGCGGAGAAAGAGCTGTTTTTCCTCAACAAAGGGGGGGGGGGTTGTTCCTTGGCAAAAGATCCCTCAAGGGCCATTCAAACTTTTCTGGTAGACTCAGAATTAATGACAGGCCCCTTCATTGCTCAAGGATCGTCTGGTTTCAGCTTGCAGAAAGCAGCCAAGTCACCTCTTGAAAAGGCATTGAGCCAACATTCAACTGGTGAAAGTTTGAATGTAAGAACTTAGGCTGGAAATCTGATCTGCGCTGTCCATTTGATCTCCTCCTCTGGCTACAGATCCCGCAGGGTCTTTCGAAGAGATCTAGGACGGCAGATCTTTTCTGACACCAAAGATACAGGTAGGTACTCCTTGACTTACGACCACAACGGAGCAACCACAATATCGGTTGCTAAGCAAGATAGTTGTGAAGCGAATGTTGCCCCAGCCCCCACACCTTTACGACCATTGTTAAGTGACTCACTGCGGTTGTTAAATTAGTAAGAGGGTTGTGAAGGGAATCCAGTTTCCGCGTTGACTTTGCTGGTCAGAAGGTGGCCAAAAGGGATCACGTGACACACACCCCCGGGACACGGCAACCGTCATAAATATGAGCCAGATGCCAAGTTTCCGAATTTTGATGGTGTGACCATGGGGATGCTAGTGGTAAATGCAAAAAAACGGTCATACGTCCCTTCTTCTAGTGCTGCTGTAACTTCAAATGGCCACTAAATGAACTATAGATGAAGATGTCTTTTTTCTTTTCCTCCAGCTACGATAGCTATTCTTTCTTCATTATCAGTAAGGTAGGAAGCAACGGGTGGAAACTAATCAAGGCTAGAAGCAACCTAGAACTAAGGAGAAACTTCCTGACAGTTAGAACAATCAATCAGTGGAACAACCTGCCTCCAGAAGTTGTGAATGCTGCAACACTGGAAGTTTTTTAGAAGAGACTGGACAGACATTTGACTGATATTGTATAGGGTTTCCTGCCTGAGCAGGGGTTAGAGTAGAAGACCTGGAAAACACAGCAATGGCCACAGGATTGGAAAAGGTCAGTTTACATTCCACCGGTCACTGGAGAAGAGCCTGATGCTGGGAAAGATGGAGGGCAATAGAAGAAGGGGACGACAGAGAATAAGGTGGCTGGATGGAGTCACTGAAGCAGGAGGTGTGAGCTTAAATGGACTCCAGAAGATGGTAGAAGACAGGAAGGCCTGGAGGAACGTTGTCCATGGGGTCGCGATCGGTCGGATACGACTTCGCAACTAATAACAACAATTCTGCATTAACTAGTTGAGATTTTTTTTAAAAAATTAGCCACTCAGAGCCTGGGTGAAGGAGGTCAAACAAATACTGAGTCCAAGTAAACAAATAAAATAGCAACTAGCAGAGCACACACAAATATTGTATGCAAATAAATAAACAACAGAGCAAATAACCAAATTGAGCAAAGCCACTTACCTGTTTGAACAGTTTCTTGACGAGTCGCCTGGAAGAAATCAGAGAAATATTAATTGACTTCTGAGCAGAGGGAAGGATGCTCAAAAAAGCCATTTTTGCAAAGGTATCCTAGTCAAACCCAAAGGCGCTTTTTTCAGGAGGCAACTGGACTTTCTTGGGGTTTTTTTGCAGACGTTTCACTTCTCATATCCAAGAAGCGAAATGACTTCAAAGGAAAACAAGAAAGTCCAGTTGCCTCTTGAAAAAAACATCTTTGGGAACAACCATGACCTGGATGACTGAGAATCCCCATAGATATCCTAGTCAAAGCATCCCTGAAATGCTAGGATAAAGTTAATCAGGTTTTCTGGTCTGTTTCTGGCCAGGGTGAAGACAGAGACAAGAGGCAGGGCATCAAAGAAAGATTTCAACAACTGCCTTTTAGATGCCTTCTGTGCAGGGAAGGTCCAATTAGCTATACGAATTCAGTAAAAAGGATAAATCTGGGCTATGTCTATCTAGATATCCTTCAGCCTTCTCTCTGACCTTTCTTTCTTCTCCTTGACACCACCTTGCCAGGAACTGTACAGGTGATTCTTGACTTAGTAACCATTAATTTAGTAACAACACTGAAAAAGTGACTTATGAACGTTTATCACACTTACGCCCACTTGGCAACTGAATTTTGATCACATGATCATGAGGCTGCTGCTGCAATGATCATAAGTGTGAAGTCATGTCATCTATTCTATTCTATTCTATTCTATTCTATTCTATTCTTCTTATTTCTATTCTATTCTATTCTATTCCATTCCATTCCATTCCATTCCATTCCATTCCATTCTATTCTATTCTATTCTATTCTATTCTTCTTATTTCTATTCTATTCTTCTTATTTCTATTCTATTCTATTCTATTCTATTCTATTCTATTCTATTCCATTCCATTCCATTCCATTCCATTCCATTCCATTCCATTCCATTCTATTCTTCTTATTTCTATTCTATTCTATTCCATTCCATTCCATT